AAAGCCCACCTTTAAGAATTAATTTTAGGTATAGCTACTACTCTGTTAATAACTCACCATTTTGAGCACTTATTTTGTACCTGCTGCTGTGCTACGCATTTGATTTATAGTTACCTCATTTAATTCTTGAAACAACTTCATTAATATCTGTTTTACAGATGAGAAAATTGATACTTATTGTTACTAAATGTAGATGGTAAATGACAAAGTCAGAATTTGATCTCAACTGTTCTGCTACAGTTCCTTCCAGGTCTCTCAAATATTCATAATAATTTGAGGATAAGAACTAGGCCTAACAAAGTAACATATTGAAAGTAACAGCAAATTGAGGTCATGTACTCCTTTATTAAGTCATTCAGAAAGAAGGTCATATTTCGGTGATGTGGTATTAATTTTTTTGAACCACATTTTAATAGGAAAGCAGGAAGAAAAGCCAGGTAAAACATTATTTAAGTACAGATTAAACGTAAGTACAGATATTCCTTCTGTCTTTAAACTGGTGGGTAATTGTTTCTCTGTACGAGGTTGTGCGGGCAGATGCACCCTCACTCTAGCTATCTATCATGTTGATCTTAATTACGTAATAGAGGCAGGAGGGATGGAGGGAGCACTTGTTGATTCTGTTCCACTAAATGGAATACTGAGTAATGAGCTAGAAAAGCTATATAGATCTGAGTTTTTTTTAGATTGTGTCTTGTAGTTTCTCTAAAAGATAGATTGCAGATTTTTTAAAAAGAGGGATGTCATATTCTATATAAAACTCCATTTTACATAGCTCCTTGGAGAGGCGGTTGTAGCAGATGGCTCTTAAAGCTGGTGTGAATTCTGGGTTTGTTTTGTGAGCTTGAGCAAATTCCAGTCCTCAGCTTTCTCACATTCAGAGTTGAGATCATAATACCTGCTCACTAAGTACACAGTAAATCGTAGCCTTCCCCTTTCCACCTCCTGCCACCTTTTTCCATTCAACAATTGAGAATCTCTTGAGTGTTAGGTCCTGTCCTGTACACAGAGCTCTTCTAAGAGCTCAAAATGAGAGGCAGGAAGGCATCTAACCAGCTCTTCGTGTTGCAGTTTAATGGAAGTGTCGTAAGAACTATCTACACTCCCTAAATGCTGAAGAAGCATGAGGTATGGAGCAATTACATGTTTTGGGGGTCAGTGGACAGCAGTGTCCATTTAAAACATATTTTGTGTTTAATGGTCATTTACTACTTGGTGAACATTAAACCTGTGTATTTTGTGGTCAGAAATGAGCTCAGTATAAACATTAGGCTGATTTGCAGTGCATGGCAATTTGAATTTTGTCATTGGGTTAAGAATATGTTATACCAGATGTAGCAATCTTTACAGTGACCACTGTGAGAAGTTACTGGTTTTATAAGACTGAAACCATCCAAGGACCTGCAATGTTGTCAGTTTGATCATAGCTCCCAGGGTTTGGGAATTACGTACATATAGAGCATCTGCCATGTGGCAGGCTCTGGGGAAACAAGAAATATCCTTGCCGTCCTAGAACCCCCAGTCTCGGGGGAAGGTGAACAGGGCAGGATGCATACCATCCTTGCTTGGGTGATAACTTGATAATTCCATTGGTTCTGGCATTATTCCTGTTGCATTATACTGTTAACTTGTATAAAAGAAGAACCGTGAAGTTATTGGGTAAGATTTTAAGGTCACTCAGGAATGCTGTGGCATTTAACCAGTGACCCATCTTTGATTCAGAACGTCTGGCCATCATCCTAAAGCAGCCAGTCATTCTGAGTTTGACAGCACTTCTCCATTCCAATTTGTTAGATATCACGTGTGGTGGGGAAGTTGTCAGCTACGAGTTTTCTTCCCTCCTTCCTATAGGGTGAAGGCTTAGCATCTGCTTCTGCCCCAGGGTGATGGCAATGCGTGAGGCTCTGTCCCCTCTGCTGTGTTTGTCTCCTTCCAGACTCATCGTGCGAGTGCACCAGTGTGTTCACAGATCTTTCAGAGAGCCAGGCGTGCTGAACCCTTGGTTCCTAATGGGGTTTGATCCTGATCTGGTGTTATTTGTTCACTCAGTAATTATTTACTAATTTTTTAATGGTGGGGACAGGACAGGACAGGACTAGACATGGGGTCGCTCTAGGTGAGCAAGTAACGTGTTACCCTGGTCAGGCTAATGATTTGATGTCACTTCAGACTGGTATTCTTTAAATCCTGGTTCATGACATTGTTAAGAGGAGAAGGCAAGCACTCTATGACAGGGAAGAGCATAGCCAAAGAGGCCCTCTGGTTCCCCCTCTGCCTGTTCCCAGGATCTCAATGGACCAGAAGTAAAATAGCAGATTCCTTATCTTTCCTTCCAACCACATTCTGAACAATTCCTGAGAGAGGTTCTGGTAGATACTATTTTTGTTCAATCTAATTCAGTTTCCAGAGTTGTTTTCAACACCCCTTCGATGAATCAGTGCATGGAAGCCACTGTGATACCCAGGCCCTCAATCTAGCACTGGGAAGAGACACTGGGGTAGGTCCCAGGGGTCCTGTCCCAGTCCCCAAGGAACTTGAGGCAATAGCTTACGGTAGACTATGAGTGTGAGAGAACTATTAGTAAAGTATTCTAGGGACAGAGATGGAAGAGCAGTGGCGTCAGCCTGTGGAGGTCAGGGTGGCTCAGGGGCGTGATTCATGGACGTGATCCCAGGGTGGGACAGATGGTAAAGTGAAATGTTCCTTTCAAATTGATGAAATGGGATACTTTAATTTCACATCCCTGAAAGCCTTAACCTTTCGGAATTGCACAAAGCAAAGTGACTAGGATATTGCAGTGATTCTTGCTGTATTTGATGACCTGCAAAATGACATCAAGTGACTATGAGAAGATTGACTTCTTGCTAAATCTTTAGTTGTAGAATTTTACTTAACTTTTCACTAAAAGACAAACTCACCCAGATGGAAAGCCCTTCTCAGATTCCAAAGTTTTACAGTAGTTCTTCGATTTACTACAAAAGAGTTTGTTTTGTCAATCTCCATTATTTCTACTGACAAGCAAGAAATAAGAGCATTCAGGCTTCTCACTTTTCACAGTAAAAACCTTGGGGCCTTGTTTTCTATCAGAAGGCTGGTTGCCCCTATTGTTCCTTAAGCCATAGTCACTGGGGAGTAGTCCCTTATCAATCTCCTTTGGGGAACCTTCTGAACAGAAGCTCTTACTTGAGAAAGGGAAGTCTCAGTGTTTTGCTTGTCTTCCAGATTCGGAGATGACTTTCCGGAATTGACTTTTTAAGTGAAAATATATGTCCTGTGTCCTGCTGCTGGGGAAAGAAAATGTTTTTGAGGGAGGAGGGAGTGCTAGTTTTGTAACATTCATTAGCATAGCAAACTGGAGAAGCCACAGATGCTGTGTCTGGGCAGCTGGGTCTGCAGAATTACTGTGAGTCCCAGGCTTGTTTTTATCCTGCCTCACATGGACTATTTATTCTGTTCTGAGAAGCATTGCCATTTAGTATTTTTGCATGCTCATCCTTCCAACTTGTACTTTTGTTTGCTGCTGGGGAGGAAGAAAGCCGATAACTTCTGCTATGGTTTCTAAAATTAGAGTGATTTGGCTTTAGCCTGGATAAAGAAACTGAAGTATATTTTGTTGTTGTTGTTGTGTGGTGTGGGGTGGTGTGTGTGTGTGTGTGTGTGTGTGTTTACCTAACAGCAATGGTTGCACTCTGAGATGACAGATTGTCATTCTGAGAAAGCTTTTTTTAAGTTCTACATTTATATCTTCTCAGCAATATATTCCTCTGGTTTAGGTAAATAAGTAGAAAAAAGAATGAAACTCATTAATAAAACATTGAAGCGTTCAACCCCACTTAATCAAAGAAATGCAAAATAAAGCAATAATAAGATCATTTTTTCATGGAATTAGTGAAGTGTCTTCTACTTGTTGTTGTTGGGATTGGTTTGTTTTTTGCCTTTTTTTAATGGTGATTCTAACATCTGGTGAAAGTTCTACTGATATATTGTTTATAGGAAAGAAAATTAGCATAACCTTCTTGGGAAATAATTTGATGTTACGTATCAGAGGCCTTAAAATATTCATGCTCTTTATCTCACTTTCCAAGTCTATGCAAAAGAAACCATAGGACCAGAGTACAGAAATGTTTACAACATTATTAGTAATAAAAAGAAAAGATCTGATATTCTGTAGCGAAATGGTTTTGTAAACTATGACATACCCATGTATGAATTATGTTTGGAGAAACTATAACAACATCAAGAAAGCCTGTGATAAATGATGAGGCAAAGGAGATCTGTGTTTTGCCATTGAATTTTACAATGGCACAATTGTGTAAAATTATCAGTCCAGCAAAAATAAAACAAAAAAACCTGGAATGAGAAAACAATCTCAAATATTAAATCTTTCTTCCTTCCCCCATGTTTTCCTTTTTTCTGTAAGAAGCATAAATATTTTCAATTGGTGTTTCTAACTTTTATTTTTGAAATGAGTAGTGCCTTAGATATAATGCTTCTCATTTTTCACTAAAAATTTAATGTTCATATTTTACACATTATAAGTTGCCATGGTGATGAGATTAAATCTGTAATTTCTGATAGTAATTTGTTTCTTTCCCTGGGTATTAGTTAGCACCTTTTATGAGAGGTCAGAAGGTGATCTCTTTAGCAACACTCACTTTTTTATTTATTTTTATTTTTTTGTTAATCCTCACCCCAAAGATATCTTTTCCATTGATTTTTAGAGAGAGAAAGAGAGAGAAAAACATTGAAGTGAGGGAGACACATCGATTGGTTGCCTCCGCACATGCCCCAACCAGGGCCAAAGATTGAGCCTACAATTGAGGTACAGAATCAAACCCTCGACCCTTCAGTCTGTGGGCCGAACCAGCTAGGGCAACACTCAATTTTTTAAAAAGTTACTTTTTTGTATGTTGAACATTTTAGTACCATATAAATGGACAAATTGTGTTGGAGTCCTGTGATGCATAAAATATAACAATATGTTTGTGATTTCTCTTTAGGAATTTTTCAAATAGAAACTAATTGCAAAGTTTCCGGTTGACCAGCATTCATAGGGTAAGATTAACATTCTGAATTGTGAACACATGGTAAAGATAATTACTATTACATTGGTAGCTTGGGGCAAACAAATAATGAATACTTAGTATGTAAAAAAAAATATAACTATTTTTATAGATGGCATGAGTAAAATCTGATGTTTTTAAACCAGTTAAACAGAAAATTAAATCTATATACAGTTTGGTAAAATGTTATCTTACTGTGCTTTGTCAGTTTTGTATATAGGAAAGTGTGTGTGTGTGTGTGTGTGTAAGAAAGAAGAGAGAGATTTTTCATTTTTAACATTAAAAATCTAAAGAATATAATAAAATGTCTCCAGCAGACTTAGACTGCATGACTCCATGTCTGTATTTTTCAGACTTTTGTTTAAGGTGGTATTGTTAATGCATAGAATTGGTTTGCCAGGTTTTCATAAGTAATAGATGGCGATGCTTTCCGAGAGTAGGTAAGTCAGAAATAAATAAATCCTGTGTTCTATTGCTTCCTGCAAACATCATTCTTCTTTTATAGTTGTAGAAGATTAATCTTAGATTAGCTCTGTGGCAGAGCTTTTGACTTTGATTTATGCACTGTATGAAATAGCATGACTTTCTAGTGTGAGTACAGCATGTGTCTTAAAAGTGTGTCACCCTGAACATAGAGTCGAGGGGAAGCAGTGGTGAGCACATTGGGTCTGTTCCCTGGTTTTCTGAACACCCTTCTTTTTATAGATGAAGATGCAGATCCGTTGACTTTTTGAGTATAGCCACATTTCCCTGCTGATTCATTGATTTGACTCTAAATTTTTAAAAGCTCATATCAACTCTCCCTGCACGTATGGCTCTTCAGTGGCTTTTCCGTCACTCCTGAACTGTGCATTATTCAAACTCTTTACCGTGGCTGCAGGCCCTCTGTCACTCATCTTCTTTCCACAGGCTCCTGACATGCCAGCCGCGGGGCCTCCTTTCTGATCCTCACACACCCTGAGCTTCTTACTCCTTCGTGGAACGACCCTCCTCAGCATCATCACGTCTGGCTCCATGTAGATCTATGATCTGTGCTTTAATGGCAGTCCCTCTATAGAGGCCTTCCCTGACCCTCCAACCTAAAGTAGCTTTAGCGTCTTCATAGTGTTCCTGACTTTATTGTGTTATCTACTCTCTTTGGTTATCGTCTCTTTTCTCTTACTACCCAGTAAGGTCCGTCAGAGCAGGGTCTTGTCTATCTGACATACCTGTATTTCCCCGACCACTTAGAACTCCCCCTGACACATAGTAGGCATTGTAAATATTTGTTACATGAACAGATTAATGTCCTGACCCCTCTCTGACAAGTGTTGTTGTTCAGTTATGTTTCACCCATTCTCTTGGGTTGTTTGGTTTGTATGGAACCAAATGTAGGACTGTTTGGGTTTAGCCTTCATCGAACCCATTTTGGCACAGAAGTGACGCTATAAGATGGGGTGCTTTCAGCTATGCATGTTTTCCCTCCACAATCCTATATAATAAAAGGGTAATACGTAAATCAACTGAATGGCGGAACAACTGGTCACTATGACGCGCACTGACCATCAGGGGGCAGGCGCTCAATGCAGGATTTGCCCCCAGCCCACATGCACCTATCGCCCAATCGGGGCCTACAGGCCAATCTCTCGGTCCCTGCCCCTGGGAGGCAGGCTCTGATCACCTGATGGTGCTCAGGGAACTGAGGGTGGGTGGCGGCGGTACCAGGCCAAGGCCCCCACCCTGCCAGTTGCCCCCCACACAGAGGGCAACCAGAGGCGGGGCTGGCGAGCCGGCCGGAACAGCCAACCTCTTGGTATCTCCCCCCGGCCGCCCGGGGGTGGGTGGAGGTGGGGGGTGGGGCCGGCAGCCGGGAAAGAAGGCCCTGATTGTAGGCCAGGCCTAGGGACCATACCCATGCATGAATTTCGTGCGCTGGGCCTCTATTAGGAATATAAATCCTTTGAAAGCAGAACAAGGCCTCATATCTCCTTGGTATCCCTTTGGAGTTCTAGCCTCCATAATTGAGTGCATGTAAATGTTAACTTTAGAGAAAGGTTTAGGATGAGTCACTCATATTTTTAAGAATTTCAAGAATACACTGGTTTGTCTGCTCCAAAGTTTAAAAAAAAATCTCATTTTGAATTATAGTTGAAAAATTATAACATAGAATTGTTCTGGACTATATTTGCAGCTTCATGTTCCAAACCCTGTTTTATTTTTATTAGAAAGGTCTATTATTAATTAGGCTACATGTCCAGAATCAGTACTGCTAACCATCTAATTCTTTTCAAATTAAGAAACCTGGCTCTAAGCTCATGTTTTACCCTTTGACCCTAGAGAAGCCACTTGAACATCTCTGAACTTTCATTTCCTTATTTGTAAAGACTTGGACTTTACAAATCTCTCTGGTTTCTTCCTAGAGAATAGTCCATATGATTCTGCTCTTGTGAAGGTAGGTCACCTATGGAAGAATTAGAAGTGAATGGAATGATGATCTCTGCTTTCGGCCAGTCATTTGAAAGGAGAGCATGTATGATCCACAAGAAACTGCAGAGGCACTGAGTTTGGCTCTATTTTATGTCTTTCTTACTGTGAGGTGGAGATGGGTGTCAGGGAGATATTTTTGTAAACAATAAAGGTGGTGGAGAAGGGCTTGAAGATACACATTCTAAGAATTATGCAGCCACTGGTGGCTTATGCTCAACAAATAATATTATAATCATGTGGCTGCAACTTCTTTAAATATGTTCTAGTTAATTTGGTAGTTCACTAAAAACATCCAAGAACTAAGCTGTCTTTTCCTCTAAGACAGCGGTTCTCAACCTATGGATTGCGACCCCTTTGGCGGTCGAACGACCCTTTCACAGGGGTCGCCTAAGACCATCCTCCATATCAGATATTTACATTACGATTCATAACAGTAGCAACATTACAGTTATGAAGTAGCAACGAAAACAATTTGATGGTTGGGTCACAACATGAGGAACTGTATTTAAAGGACCAGAAGGTTGAGAACCACTGCTCTAAGATAATCACCATCTAAATTAAATGCATGCTGGGATGGGAGGGCAATCTGGCTTTGACATCTGTCACCCCGTTGATCGCCAGGGTTGATTCAGCTGATCTGGCTGGCTAGGCAGGTGTTCCCTTCCTCCCTCACTGGTCCACATTCATCCCTCCCCAAGTAGATGACCTTCCTCCCAGAGGAGACGACTGGTCTTCAGTCAAGGGTATATGAGTAGCTGCTAGAACCTCCAAACAAGCTCTCAAGGTCCATTTTTAGGAGAACATAGTGTAGTCAAGCTTTCAAGACTCCAGACATATAAATGAGGCACTGCATGCAGAAGTCAGTCTGCCTTTAAATTTTTTTAATTAATTAATACATGATTTATTTCATGACTGTGAGAAACAAGGATAAGTAAAGAATGTTCTGGAAACAGCCTAAGTGCCCATTAGCAGACGAATGGATTAAAAAACTGTGATACATCTACACAATGGAATACTAAGCTGCTGTAAAAAAGAAGGAACTCTTACCATTTGCAACAGCATGGATGGGCCTGGAGAGCATTATACTAAGCGAAATAAGCCAGTCAGAGAAAGATAACTATCACATGATCTCACTCATTTGTGGAATATAATGAACAACATAAACTGATGAACAAAAATAGATCCAGAGACAAAGAAACACTGACGGACCGTCCAACCTCAAAGAGAGGGTAGCGGGGTAAGAGATCAACCAAAGGACTTGTATGCATGCATATTAGCATAACCAATGGACACAGACATTGGGGCGGTGGGGGCTTGTCCTAGGGGGTGGTAGGGGCTGGGGTGGTCAATCAGGGGAAAAGGAGACAGATGTAGTACTTTAAACAATGCAAAAAAATAATTTTAAAAAAGAATGTTCCTTAAAACTCAGAGCAACTGAGCTTTTATTAGGATATCTAAGGTTGTTCCCTTGGTTTTAATTGCCGTATTCAGTAACTTTCTCCTGGGGCTTTAAATGATTAGGGTTAATCATATAAATCTTAATATTTAGAATAGTTTTATGATTGTTTCTTAGACCACTCTACTGCTTTGGGTAAGAGGTTGCAGAATGGTATCACACCTCTCTGTTCTCCTTTGGTTTCTCTGTGTTATTGGACTATGATGCCAGCTTCTCTCCTTGAAACTCTTTGGTTTTTGTGTTCCAGAAATACCGCGCTTCTCCTTTATTTCATTGACCCTGCTTCTCTATCCCCCTTTATTGTTCTGTGTCTGGTAGTCCTTCATCTGATATATTATCTAGAAGAGAAAAGTTCTGTTATTCACTCACTAAATTTACTCTCTTGAAGAGTTATTAATTCATTTCTATGACACTATCTACAACTTAAATACTCACGACTTCCTATGGGGGATCAAAGATGGCTGCGAATATTTTGTGATTCTCCCATCAAGAGATAGACTCTTTGTTTCCCCTCCCTTTGGATCTGAGCTGGCTGTTTCCTTTTTGAAGCAATCCAATGGGACAGAAATGGTGTGGGGCTATTTCTAAGGCTGGACTAAAGAGAATTGTAGCTTCTGCGTTCGTGTGCTTGAAAGGTTCCTTCTTCGAACTGAGCCACCCTGCTGTGAGGGAGCCTACCCGGCTGGGTGGAGGAGCGGCCAGGCCCCTGGTCACCAGCCCAAGCTGAGCTCCAGGCCAGCAGCCAGCCCAAGTGCCAGCTCTGTGATTGAGGCATTTTGGACCTTCCAGCCATCCCAGCATTGAAGCCAACACCATGTGAAACAGATTGCCTCATCATCCCACAGAATCAGGAGAATGATTTTGCTATTTTAGCTGCTGAGTTTTGGGATGGTTTGTTACATGGCAATTAAGAGCCAAAACAACAATTGTACCTAGAAGTGCGGTGCTGTCATAACAAAACATCTGGCATGAGCTTTGAGACCAGATGGCAGTGAAGACCTGAAGGGCAGTAAGAGGGCTATTAAATGTTGGCTGGGCCCTCAGTGGGTGGCTCAGTTGGTTGGAACATT